TGCAGAGATAGGGCCTTGCTCTGGATTTGGCAAGCATTAAGAGAAAGCTGTGGCTGTTTGATCGTCTATCCAGAACACTAAAACTTTCTCTATATTAGCAACAGGCAGGGACCAGCAGATTGCATAACGGTTACGTCACTGGACTCCCACACAGTCGATTATGGTCCAAGTCTCAGGTCCAGCAGCTTAAAACTCACACAGAATGCATGTGCATGCATGCCCCAAATCCTGAGAGGAGAATGGAGGAGAAGGGATTGAGGCATGGCCACCGCCCCCCCCCCCGGGGAGGGGGGATTTCTCACTTTCTGTCTATCTCCTCTCTGTCTCTGTCTCTCCAGTGAGCACACACACCCTATAGCAAAAAATCTCTCTCGTTAAAAAAAAGCAGGACCAGCAGATGGCATAATGGTTACATCACTGGACTCCCATAGTAAACTGCAGTTCGAGCCCCGGACCCAGTAGCTTATACACATGCATGTGTGCCCACAGCTCCAACAGGGGAATGGAGAAGACGGGACTGTGGCATGGCCACCTCTCCTGGGAGGGGATTTCTTGCTTTCTGCCTCTCTGTTCCTCTAGCTAGCACACATGCTCTATACAAAATATCTCTTTTCAAAAAAACAAAAGAAAGCCACAAAGCATCCCCACTGTGCGGGGATGGTAGTCCCTACCTCAATCCTTTCTCCTCCATGGTTCTCTTGTGATTTTGGGCATGCACACACATGTACCTGGCATGACTTTCAAGCCACTATGTCCAGGACTCAAACCACATACTCAGCCATGTGAGATCTAGCTACCATAACCTCCAAACCAGTTGCTGGCCCAAAGCCATTATTAGTTGGCCTAATTTTTAGTGTGTGTGTGTGTGTGTGTGTGTGTGTGTGTGTGTGTGTGTCTCATTCAGGGAGAGGCAGGGCCGGAGAGGGGGGGAGGAATGGGGGAAAGGCCATCTGTGAAGCAGCTGGGATACACTCACTAATGGGTTAAGTTGGCTGCCTTGTATGGGCATGATTTGTGGCACCCAAACAATTACAGTAGTAACATCACACATCATGTACCACAGATAGCCATAGCAGGCAAAATAATAATGAGAATGTCTGAAATACTGTGAGCATTACCAAAATGTGACACAGAGCGAACGCTCACCGTTGGACACATGGTGCCGATAGGTTTGTTTGACACGGAGTTGCCGGAACCCTCTAACTTGTAAAAATCATGTATTGCAAAGGGGAGAGGCAGGCCTGCAGAGAGGGAGAGGAATGGGGGAAAGGCCATCTGTGAAGCAGCTGGGATACACTCACTAATGGGTTAAGTTGGCTGCCTTGTATGGGCATGATTTGTGGCACCCAAACAATTACAGTAGTAACATCACACATCATGTACCACAGATAGCCATAGCAGGCAAAATAATAATGAGAATGTCTGAAATACTGTGAGCATTACCAAAATGTGACACAGAGCGAACGCTCACCGTTGGACACATGGTGCCGATAGGTTTGTTTGACACGGAGTTGCCGGAACCCTCTAACTTGTAAAAATCATGTATTGCAAAGTGCAGTTCAGGGAAGTGTGATCAAGTGAGATGTGTGTCCACGTATTTACACTCATGAACCATGGAACATCGTTTCAGTCAGTGACGGATCACACGTCAGACGGCATCCTGTGAGGCCAGCCAGGCTGTCCCGAGTAGCCCAGTGCCGCGGTTGCCCTGTCGAGGTTCTGTAGGCACACTGTAGGGTGTTCTCACAGCGACAAAACTGACTGACGACACTTTGCTCAGGACCCATTCCTATTGTGAAATAATGGGAAACACACACATATACATGCATTAATTTCAAAGTTTTATTTATTACTTTTATTATTTTATCATTTGCTACAGGGCACATGTGCTCACTAGAGAGAGAAAGAGAGAGAGAAAGTGAGAAAGCAAGCTACCAGGTCCGAGACTTGAACTGTGGTTGGTCATGTGGGAGTCCAGCAAGCACTTTAACCACCATGCCACCTCTGGCCTTAAATGACTGCTCGCTCGCAGAGACAGACGTGTGCTGTGGGGTTCTGAGTGGCTTCTGAGCAGGTGTGTGGTCGCCATGCTGCCCTGTCTCGTGGCCAGAAGAGCCACTTCCAGTTGTGGGAGCTGGTGGGCCAGTATCAGATACCGACAAAGTTGGTGCTCACTAGAGAGAGAAAGAGAGAGAGAAAGTGAGAAAGCAAGCTACCAGGTCCGAGACTTGAACTGTGGTTGGTCATGTGGGAGTCCAGCAAGCACTTTAACCACCATGCCACCTCTGGCCTTAAATGACTGCTCGCTCGCAGAGACAGACGTGTGCTGTGGGGTTCTGAGTGGCTTCTGAGCAGGTGTGTGGTCGCCATGCTGCCCTGTCTCGTGGCCAGAAGAGCCACTTCCAGTTGTGGGAGCTGGTGGGCCAGTATCAGATACCGACAAAGTTGACTTGCGTAGACCCCCACCTGGTTTAGTCCCCAGGTCCTGTCCTTTCTGGTCTTGGATTCTCCTCAACTCTAAGCACCTACTGCCACTCCAGTGTCGAGGGCTGAGGGCCACCCTGGCTGTCAGCTACAGGAATGAGTTCCTTCTGAGAGAGTCAGATTTGTGGGCACTGGGTCCCCAAGATGGTGGCTATCATTTTAGAGTAGAATTAGGATCCCCAGTGGCTAATGCGTACTAGGCCTTGCTGGTGAGGGGGTTGCCTGCAACGCATTGTTTAATTATTGATAACCGCGTTGATTTCTAAAATGTACTTGTCTTTCACAATCACAGTCTATAAAACACAGTTACCTTAAGAACATACCAAAGAGAGACATCGAATCACTGAAAGTGAAGGTGGTGTACAAAAATATTTTAATAGTTTAAAACATGTTGTAACACACTAAGCAACACTGCAGGGCATCATATATGGAAAAATACAAAAACTAAGACCTCGTCTACACACCCAAGGTGAAGTCTTAACATGTTCCAGTGTGATTAGTCTCTGCCAGTCATAGCCGATTAAGCAGTTCTTTTGGGAAGGAGTAGCATACTGAATAGATTACAGCTGGGTAGAGACTTGAGGGTGAGAGGTAGAGACTTATTGCTCTTTTTATTTTTTTTTTCAATCGTTTTGGTATCTAACTATTCCAAGGACTCAACTCCAAACTTCAGACAAAAATAAAACATAAACCTGTATTTCAGATGCTTTAGCTCAATAACATCACCTATCTTCAATGAGATAAAACAAGCAATTGTCATAACATTAATCTCTAAACAGTGGGGACGTACTTCTTCAATCAGTATGCAATCACTCAGGTATGATTTTCCCAAGCTTCTTAAGAAAATTCCACTTACATTATTGTAATGTAAATTTAAGCAATAATTCAAAGCATCACTAACTATTTTTTTCCTTCACATTTCAATTAAGATACCTCAGCTAATTCTCTTTTGTTTCCCCAATAAAAAGGATTGTTTCACAAAACTAATATTTGGCTTATAACAGAAATTAAAGCCACACACTATACAAATTTGGTTTTACACACATTGCTTGAGGACCTCAGATACCGTCTCCCATGCTTCTCCTTGGTTATCTTTCTTTAACTGTCTCTTACTGAATAATGTGGCGAAAGAAAGTGTATTCATGTTAAGTGAACAATTTCTTCTTATGTTTATGCTAATTATATAAAGGTCCTCGGAGTTTAGATACTATCAAAACCCTCAAACGAGTATTTCTTTTTCACTTTTTTTCTTTAAAAAAATAAATTAAATGAAAAACTACAGGACAGCTTACTCTATTTTGAATGGGAAACAAGCTTATTTCAGTTCAATTATAGTGAGTTAAAAGCTGTAGTAGAAGTATCTTTTCTTAGGGGGAATATTAGAAAAAAAAATGATAATAAACCTTTCTGTGTGACCAAGTCTTGAAGGGGGACCATGAAGCAGAATTTCTGTAGGACGGCTCCATGAAATCCGGCTACCTTGAAATGCCACCTAGTGATAGGCACTGGGATTGCAGCTGAGCTAAAATGTCCATTTGCTTTGGGCAAAACTATTTCCATGACTTTGTTTTTTGAAACAATAATAGGAAATAATGATTTCCCAGGCCATGAGATAGCATCTGGATTGCATAAACACTGCGTGCAGGATTTCTAAACGGTGAGGAGTTGGCTCCCTGACCCAGTTTGAGGATGTCTTCCCTCAGCCTCTCGGAGCTGGGGAGGCAAGCTGCCCGGACTGTACCTCACTTCAGTGGACTTAGGGAACTAGGAACACGCTCCATATGCGAAACAGCAGACTCTTCATAAACAGGTGGTGTCCATCTACCCAACTCAACTTGTGTTTTTTCTCTACAAATTCATGTGGCCTGAATGATAGCTGACCAAACTGTCCAGAGCCGTCTCCCACCCCTTCACCACAAAACGGGAAGGGCGTCTGGGTTCAGCTGAGGGGCCACAGCGCCACCTCTGGGTGTGTGGCTTCACCCCACGTACTCATGGGAAACTGGCAAGGACATCATTTATGGTTCTTCCAGGCATCTGCCGACTTGTCCTACACTTTTGGGTAAAAAGTCTAACACTGAAATGGTTTAAAGCAGAAAAGGAAAAGGCACCCTGGCAAGTAGACGTAATTGGGCAGGAGATTTTATAAAGTTTCCAAATGCGAAAACTGGCATCGGA